ATACACCAAAACTGTTTCATTAAGCTAAAGTTGTTTTGTTGACTATAGTGTCCCTTTAAAATTGTCCTACAAGACGTCACTACTACAAGGCACATCTTAAATGACTTGCCCTGCAAGCTTGGATGCCCAATGCCTTATATACTAGAGGTAAATTTATACTTGCCAAGGATACATTTTTACTCACCAGTGGTTAACGGAGAGTGGAAATTTTGAGCTCTGGTTTAAGCATTTATTTTACTCAATATTCTCCAGAAAGTAACCTAGTGATATATTTGAATCTCTAAAAAAATTTTATACTTGATTTAGCATTCTTTTTATAATACAATTACTATATATATATTATTGCATTATGCACTATATGTTAATATGTTTCTAGTATTGTAGCGCTTTACTGAAAATGTATTTAGCTTCAGCAGAGTGATGTTATGGTCAGATCGCTCAAGGACAAATTTTCCTCCGAGAAGTGAGAACATTTCATTGCACAGATGCAAACTTCTCCTATTGATTCACAAAGACCTAATCATGTAACACTCATTTCTGTTTATTAACTCCACACAGCACTTCAGTTCAATCAATATTATGCAGATGTTCACACATCACCTTTTAAGACAGTCAGAGGACATAATACGCGGTGACATAACAGACTCTCCAGAAATAATTATTTGGTCGCATTCCAAAGTGCATATGATCGTATACATTTCATGACGTATTACATGTTTTATAGGGGAATTAACTATCTTTTCTTCCATGACCTGTATGACTCACATACACAATCTCAATGTAAAAAGTTTTCTTTTCTTTAGATTATGTTGGGAGCTTTCTCTGCTTGCACTCTTAAAGGAACTCTGTCAACAAGTGGTCTTTATGTAGATTACAAAGACCCCCAACAGTGATGTCATTGCCTGGAGTCCAGTGGCGGGCTAGGGTAAGGTGAGATGTACTTACCTGAACCTAACTATCATGGGTGCTGCTGTCCTCTTCCTGCCAGTCTTCTTCATCTACTGACGCATCAGCGCTGTATTCTGGTGCATGTGTGAGAGTACAGCATTGAGGTCTATTGACAATTCCTCTCAGGCTGTGGGATATTCCATAGGAAGAGCTTAATTTCCTTACAGCAGTAAGGTGGCGGTAGCTCCACCTTCCGTCAAGCTTTTTCAGGCACAGGAAAAATACTGAGACAAAATAGTCCCTGTTGTGTATATTACTAAAGCATATAAAAAGCATGTAAACAAACAAACAAACTGAAACTGCTTTTAAAATGTACTGATTTATGTAGGTAAAAATTGTGTAATCATTAAATCAACTAAATTAAATCACTAAAGCATTAGGAATACTTACATTTATTCCTAATGTTTTAGTGTCCTAGTCCCAGGTTATATAGGTACCTCACTCCTGTGTGTGTGATAAAAATACTAAAATATAGGTTTTATCTACATTTTTCCAGTGCCGAGGCTCCCTCTCCTGCAACATCAGGCAGAAGACATGGCTTCATCCTGTGTGGTCCAATCCAATGCTTCTCATAGAGAAGCAATTGGGACCTGATTCACTGCATGGTGAGTGCCTCACACATCCAAGATTTCCCACAGGAAAGCAATGAGTCAATGCTTTCCTATTGCTGCTTTCTCATCACTTGACCAAGTACTGTGAAAGTGCCTCCAGTGGCTGGCTAAATTGTCAGGCCCAATGCACCCAGGCCACTTCATCTGAATGTAGTGGCTTGAATGAATTTAGTGGTCCTTTAATAACCACAATAGAAATGTAACCTGTGGAAGAGTTAAAACGAGAACAGTGTACTGTCAATATAGGAAAAACATAAAAAAAAAATAATGCCTCTACTCCAATTGCTGTCACCCACCAATAAGTAATCGCATGAAATCACCATTGGGTAATATTTGCTCATGCAGTCTAGAAATTGATACATTATTATGATGGAAGTGATATGATAAGCTCTGTAGCTTGACACACTGAATCTGTAGTTGAGGACTTTGATTTAGGTTTGGCCAAATTTTTTTATCACCTTTATGATGAATGGTCCCCGAAGTTTGGGGCTGTCTCAGAGAGATGACTTCACTAATCTCAGGGTCAATAAACTTATGATGTATGTGGTGTGCACACAATGCTTTGCTTATTGTTAAGTCTGTCTCAAATTTGACAGGAGGAGTCCAGGAGGCAGAAACCAGCCAAAGCGAAGTACCAAAGGGAAAACCAAATTCATAGTCAAGAAAAGCCAGGGGTCAGTTCAGGCGGCACGGGTTCAGAGACAATAAACAGGGAGAGAAATCAAATACGGCAGGATAGGGACACTGAAGTTGACACCACAGTAAGCACAGTAGAACTGAGCAACAAGGTAGAGGTAGACTAAGGTTATCCACCTCTCACATTCTATTGGTTAGAAGGTGATTAGTCCTTCAAACAACTTCAGCTGTACTGGTTCTTTAAGAGGCCGGCGAGAGAATTACACGTGGCTTCAACTGGGACCTCCTGCGGGTTGCGGCGTGGTGTGGAGAGATGCAGCACTGCATCCATGTGTTGCAGGGACGCTGGTTGGATGTACATGATGCTGTGCACACAGGAGTCCTCAGCGTGCCTCAGAGTCCTCAGCGAGACGTGGTGGGGGAGTTGCAGGTAAGTGCGATCATGACCCTTAGGTGCTAATTTCTCTAATTATTCTCCATTCACAAGTTTGCATCATCTATCAAAAAAGTGAAGCTATATGTTTCATGGATAGATTCCAAGCTGAACGTTTGTAGCCCTCTATTAGGTATGTTTAATGCCTCCATGTTTATATCTGAACATTTCAAAATTACAAAATAGACTTAAATTACGGTATCAAGGTCTCGGAATCGTGGATGATTTGGAAGGCAGGTTTTCAATTTCTTTTAAGTCACACCACTACAAAACTCATTAATATTAGCAAAACTGGGATACTCTAAGATCCATTATCCATTTGTGTTGATAATTCCTTCTGATGCACTTGTCCTGGTTTCATATGTGTCAGGGTTATTCACTAAAGCAGGGGTGAGGAATCTTTGGCCCTCCAGATGTTGTGGACTATATATCCCTTAATGCTTTGCCAGCACTACGGCTATAAGAGCATTATGGAGGATGTATTCCAAAAGATCTGGAGTGCCGAAGGTTCCCCACCCCTGCACTAAGGTAAGAATGCAAACATAATTTCAGATTGAAGGCCAAAGTTGCCAATTTTTTCGAACTCGGATACTTGGGCTTTACATTTGAAACTCACACTGAATTCTCACTTTAGTGTATCTTGTGTGACTTACTGTTATTCTTGAAAAAAACATCATAGGTCTTTGCTACATTTAAAACATGCAAACTATTGCACAGATCACACTGTTATTGAGTCAGGCCATTCCAGATTTGATCCAACTGGGTCTACCACGCGAGTGAAAGATGTTTTAAATTCATCATGATCTTAACACAACCGCAGTAAAGAAACAGTATGTACCTAATGCAAGTAAAGTGTGGTTATAAAAGCCGGGTTATATTGCCTACATGTATTCCATGTATACATGACAACTTATTTTCATCATGTAAAAATATTTATTTGTCTTTCATCACTTTTCTGTGATTTTTTTAAATTTTAAAAAACTATTTTAGTAGAAACTATTTTAATACAATAATCCTTTCAACTAGTTTTATAAGGAAATCTATATATTTTTAAATTAAGTATATTTAAACAAAAAAATTAGAAACTAATCTCTTCCTTTAGTATATGACAGAATCCTTCAACCATATACATGCTTAAAAATTAACATTTACTTTCCCCGACCTTCCCTGCATCACTCTCTGCAAGGAGCAGCGAAGACCAGCAGAGACGATAGCTGTCAGTTTTCAAACACTGTCTGACCCAAGGCGCATGTATATGGATGAAGGATCCTGTCATATACTAAAGGTAGAGATGAGTTTAATGCTAATTTATTTACATATACTTCTTAAAAAAATCTAATTCCTTTCAAAAACTGATGAAAGGTTTATTATATTAAAAATAGATTTCAGGCAACAGTTATCCTTTAATAATCTAAAAATATATAAATATATGTACATGAACTATTTGACATGCTTACCCTTTTAGGATGGTGTGCTTTAAATAAAAATATGGGGGGAAAAAGGGAGAATACACTACTTACCTGTACGTCACTTTTACACAATGTTCCATCATTAAGGGTCATTGGAATACAATATATTCCATTACATTCTGGCAAGCACATTGAATGCATCTTTATTACGCAGTGAAATGGAATGAGTGTTTCACCTTAATGCCATCAAGCTCTATGGCCTCTATGATGATTTCTCATTATTCTGTTACTTGAAATAGAGGAAATATGTCATTTAATAATTTTATTCAGCCTCGTTTTTGTTCAATCCTGTGACTGTGTCACTCTCCAATATAGTTTATCACTGTACACAAAGTAACTAATATTTGCAAGTCATAGTGACACAGTGTATACTTGAACATTATAACAGTATAACAATGCAGTAACGTACCACTATATCAAAGCAACAGTGTAACAGATGGGACTTAAGGCCAGGATGGGCAATCACAAACGGTATATGTCTTATTCACATTTGGCATATTATAACATTAGTTTTTTCCAGTGAGTGCCGTATATACTCGTGTATAAGTCGATCTTGTGTATAAGTCGAGTGCAGTTTTGTGACCAACAATTGTGAAATATGCTATGCCTCGTGGATAAGTCGAGGGTAAAACTTGGGGATATGAAATTCTGTGATTTTTATAATTTTGTCTGATTTTAGTTAGGTAAGATCCTGGAACATAATCCTGTATATAATGCAGAGTGTGTGTGTGTATATAATGCAGAGTGTGTGTGTGTGTATAATGCAGAGTGTGTGTTTGTATGAGTGTGTGTGTGTATATAATGCAGAGTGTGTGTGTATATAATACAGTGTGTGTGTATATAATGCAGAGTGTGTGTGTATAATGCAGAGTGTGTGTTTGTATGAGTGTGTGTGTGTATAATGCAGAGTGTGTGTTTGTATGAGTGTGTGTGTGTGTATAATGCAGAGTGTGTGCATTATATACGCGCACACTCATACAAACACACACTCTGCATTATACACACACACACACTCATACAAACACACACTCTGCATTATACACACACACACACACTGCATTATATATACACACACTCATACAAACACACACTCTGCATTATACACACACACACACTGCATTATATACACACACTCATACAAACACACACTCTGCATTATATATACACACACACACACACACACTGCATTATATACACACACTCATACAAACACACACTCTGCATTATATACACACACACTCTGCATTATATACACACACTCATACAAACACACACTCTGCATTATATATACACACACACACTGCATTATATACACACACACTCATACAAACACACACTCTGCATTATACACACACACACACACACTGCATTATATACACACACTCATACAAACACACACTCTGCATTATATACACACACCCTGTGTGTATATAATGCAGAGTGTGTTTGTGTGAATGCAGAGTGTGTGTGTTTGTGTAGTGTGTGTGTACTGGGTGGAGGGGAGGGCATTTTTATTATTTAAAAAAATAATAATATTTAAAAAAAAATATTTTAATATTTTTTTTCATTATTGTATTATTTAATATGTATTTTTGTCCCCTTCCCTGCTGGTTACCTGATCAGGGAGGGGGGCTATCTTAATCCCTGGTGGTCCAGTGGCATGGGCTGAGCTGGGGGGAGCTGGCAGCAAGCTGTTACATACCTTTGTAGCAGCTCCGGTCAGCTCCCTTCACCTCCGTGCAGCTCCCCTGTCAGCTCCCAGTGTAAATCTCGGGTGTCACGAGATTTACACTGGGAGCTGACAGGGGAGTTGCATGGAGGTGAAGAGAGCTGACCGTAGCTGTAGGTATGTAACAGCTTGCTGCCAGCCCCCAACAGGACCGCCGGGTTTGTAATGAGCCCGGCGGTCCTGATCTGTATCATGGCAATGTAAGTTGCCATAATACAGACAGTGACTCGAGTATTAGTTGAGTGGGGCTTTTTCAGCACAAAACATGTGCTGAAAAACTCGGCTTATACTCGAATAGATACGGTATATCTGTGTGTATCCGTGTTGGTTGTATAATCATCGTGATTCTAAATGGTTGTCGAGTGGGTTCCGTCATTGGAGCTCCTCAGTGCTCAAGGTGATCGTGTGGGGTATGTTGTCAGTTGTTGTTGTTATGCCTGGAAGTGGGAATTAGCTTTAGATTTTTTAAGTTACATTTTTTGATTTTTTTTTTTATGAAGTATATTTTTGTGGTAGAATAATTCTCAAAACTTCATGTCATATTTTCACATTAATTTTCTCATTTTTGGTGTGATATTTTAATGGTCAGTGTAAAAAGTGTAACACATATAATTAGTAGGAATACTTATAGTAGGAATAGTTATCGGGCAAGGGTTATTTTGAATGTAATGTTCACCAATTTATTCCATTTAAGTTTTAATCAACTACAATTTTTTGTAAAAAGAGAGTCAAGTGAAATAGAGCTTTTCAATTTACTGTTTGGAGTCTTGATTTAAATTCAAATTAAACTTGGAGATTCTCAATATGTCAAGCCTAAATGTAGCCAAATCATGACCCAAACAAATCACGCAATGGACCAGAATGTTCGTTTTGATTCATTCTTTGGAATTCTGCCGGTGGAAACAAAAAAATTAGATGATTGGTAAGAAAAAAGATAAGCAATGGCCAGCGGACAGTCAGTAAATGTTGATTTTATTCACCGATCCAATGAGAAGTGACTAACAGAAGAAAAAAAGGAAGCAAACAATTAGATGTTTATATATTATTTATGTAATACCACCATCATACATATCTACCAGTAGACATGATGTCGATCTGAGCCAGTGCATGCGACTAATAAAGAAACAGCATATAAAATATTGTTTCTGATAACTAGTGATGTCGCGAACCCGAAATTTTCTGTTCGCGAACGGCGAACGCGAACTTCCGCAAATGTTCGCGAACCGGCGAACCGCCCGAAACTCCATTGACTTCAATGGGGAGGCGAATTTTAAAACACACAGGGACTCTTTCTGGCCACAATAGGGATGGAAAAGTTGTTTCAAGGGGACTAACACCTGGACTGTGGCATGCCGGAGGGGGATCCATGGCAAAACTCCCATGGAAAATTACACAGTTGATACAGAGTCTGGTTTTAATCCATAAAGGGCAGAAATCACCTAACATTCCTAAATCACAATCAATATGGATTGACACCTGACATATGACATATTGACACCTTGACATATGGATTGACACCTGTCCTCAGAGCCCCTGATGCACACGGACACAGAGCAGAATAGAGACTGTTCCCCCTACATCGGGTCACTTGGCAGATATGGATTGACACCTTGTTACAAACTGCTATTTGTAACGGGCCCTTTAAATGGCAAATTGCCCTGTTTCCCTGGGTTGTGGAGAAGCCTCTTTGCCAGCCTCCTCCCGCATGACTATGGCCCCTGGGAGATTGTGAAAATGTATGCACTTTTATTTGGTGTGTATGGCCCTTTAAGACTGTCGGTGGGCATATTGGGGCTTATGGACTCTTTATGTGACTGGTGCTGGCCCTTTAAACACCTTTTTTGGGACATCAGGAAGATTGGGACACTGCCCCTTTAAGGCCGTGTCCCCAGACTTGTTGGGGACACGGCCCCTTTAAGACGGTGTCCCCTGTGTCCCCAGAAGTAAATGGGAAATTATTTCAGCTGCAGAGACTAAGTCCCATTCGGCGATGGGACTTAGTCTTTTTTTCAGCCGTTTCTTTCAGCCTTATTTCAGCTGCAGAGACTAAGTCCCATTCGGCGATGGGAATTTCAGTCTTTTTTCAGCCGCTTTTTCAGCCTTATATATTTCAAGTTGGGAGACTAAGTCCCATTCAGCATGGACTTAGTCTTTTTCAGCCGCTTTTCAGCCTTATTTCAGCTGTAGAGACCAAGTCCCATCTCGCATGGACTTAGTCTTTTTTCAGTCGTTTTTTCAGCCTTATTTCAGTTGCAGAGACTAAGTCCCATTCACATGGACTTAGCCGTCAGCCTGAAATAGAAATTCCGCTGGCAGCCCAAATTCATAGAACTGGTTTTGGCAGGAAAATGTAGTTAGCTTGCAGTCGGTCATAAAGGGACCTACAGCTAACTTTTTAACCCCTGGATGGATTTGGCTGATTTTTTGGTTATGTTTATGTTTTAAGTGTGCTGATTCCAAATATGTAATTATGAAGATGGGATGTGCAGTTTTAAAGTTACAGGGTATGGCTAAAAACTGTATTTTTACTGCCTGTGTTTAATTATGTTAATCTCTTCCCAAACGTCATTTCGTTCAAAGTGGAGAGAATGTTAAAAATATATATTTTTGTTCGGAGTGTGAGAAATGCTTTTCAGACGCTTCTAATCTTAAGCATCATTTGAGGAGCCATACAGGAGAGAAACCTTATTTGTGGTGTGTTTAGTATTGTTCTGATCAGTTTAATACCTTCCGCGTCTCCTATCAGTGGACGTGTATATGGCAACCATTTTAGGAACCGTACACCTGGGACCCGAGCAAGGTCACCTCGTTCAACAGGCGACAACATTTGTCCCTGGAAAACTATCCTGGACATTCTGTACAATTTGTATGGATATGGCAGTGATTTCTGTAACAGGGAGATGAAGAAGATGCTTGGTCGGTCCTCTTAATTCAAATTTGGGGCACTGCGCGGTCAAGCTAATGTGCCACCAGATAGGAGTGGTGTGTTTAGTATTGTTCCGCTGATCAGTTTAATACCTTCCGCCTATCGCGGTCGTGGTAATAACGCATTGATTTTGTACCGGAGATGTAAAAGAAGAGGTCAT